ATATAAATATATATTATTTATTAGAGTCCAGCTTTTTTCTCGTACGATTTATTATCTATATGAATTTGATATATATATATATATTCTTTTATTTTTGTTTTGTTTGTTTTGTTTTCCTTATAAAGATTAGAGACGAACAAAAATATTAGTTATTATAGTTCTCGATCCACCTAATTAATGGCAGTAGATATTAGTAGAGAGGCGGGAGACGTGAGAATATCTTTCGTTTTCATTTATCTTTCTTACTTTCTTACTTTTCTTTACTCTCTTTCTTTCATTTCTTTTTTAAATTATTATTTTTATTATTGGCATGCGCAATCACTACTCCAAATATGAAATAACTAAAGGCTCATGTACACCTGTTTTCCGTTTCGCGAAGGAAGTAACACATTGACTTCATTTTAAAAATAACCCATTTACGAGAAGAACTTTTTTTCTACGCGTTCTTTTTTTTTTTTTGTTTTCTTTTCTTTTCTTTTTTATTCATTTCAACAACAAAAATTTTTATATCATCTCGCGATTGTGAATTTACACGCGAATAGTATTCTCTATTAAAAATCGGAAGATAAATGTATAAAAAAAAAAAAAAACAAAAAACAAATGGATCGAGATTAATAAAAAAAGAAAAAGTTAACTTTTTAAAAATCGAGCGAGTCGGTTTCTTCCTCCGCGAAACGCGGTGTTCAGAAAAAAGGGAAAGACCTATGATAAGAATGTCTACGAAAAGAAAGCTATAGGATTAGAGGAGAAAAACCATAAGTATAGAAGAAGAATATAAAAGAAGGGAATGTTTATGGTTGTTTGGATGTTTGTTATAGTTGATAATGATGAGAGATGATAATTGATGATCAGATGATTATGATAATGATCATGATAATGATGACGATGATGATTTTGTCGTAAGTTTATGTAAAACACACCGCGAGGGGAACAAAAATATATTTTTCTTCTTCCTTCGTACAACCTCGTGTCGTATTCGGCAGTTCACGAACGTGCTTACATACACGTACGTACGTACGTACGTATACATACATACATACATATATACATACGTGTACTTATACTCTTTCTCTCTCTCTTTCTTTCTTTTTTTCTTTCGAATTTTTATTTTAATCGCTTAGTTTTTTTTTCTTTCTTTTTCATCTCGAGAAAAAAAAGCAGTGCGCCGTCATCCCCGCGCACAGGAAAAAAGAAGAAGAAGAAGAAGAAGAAGAAGAAGAAGATGAAAAAAAGCCGAAAAAACCAAAACGACTATTTTTTTTTATATAAAAAAAAAAAAAACCAAAAACATTTCACGCGACAAAATATTTTTTATATTCGTATCGCGTGTAATTTTCTTCCTTTTTTTTTTTTTTTTTTTTTTTTTTTTCATCCGCGGCAAATCGCGCGACTCTTCGTCTCGGTGATATATCACAAAAATTCTTCTTTCCGCGGTTACGAAATATCAGGGACGTAATAAGTAATGCCGCAGGGGTGGTGGAGTGTCTTTCGTGGAAAAAAAATTTATTTTTTTTGCTACAAATTTCTTCTTTTCTTTTCTTTTCTTTTTTTTTTTTTTTTTTTTCTCTCTCTCTCTCTCTTTTCTTGGAAAATGTTCAATAATAAAATTAGTTCGATTGCTCGGGCAAAAAGTCTTTCTTTTTTCTTTTTTTTTTTGTTTCAGAAGGCTGCAAATCCGTGTAAGAGATCACTTCCTCGGGTACCGTCGACAAA